AGGCTTTTTCATGTTTTCTGATAAAATGCTATCGGATACCAAGAATCCTTTAATATAAGAAAATACAAAGTTTATTTTATAATTTATTTTACAATTTTAACTAAATTTGTGGACATTTGCCGACAAACGAAATTATTTTAGAAGAAATTTGTGATTTATCTATTCTTTTTTTTACTTTGGGAATTTTTAATCTTTTCTGATTATTTTATATTAAACAAAAATCTATTTAGACTTTATTAAGAAATCCATTCTATTTTTGGTTTAATGTGTTATTTTCAATTTGTTAATTTTTTCATAGATAAAAGTTATTTCAAAAAATTTTTTATAAAGAGGCGATTACTTGTAAATCCTAAATCAGCATGTTATTTAATTCTGCAAACAGAGTATGCACATTATCTCTATCACTCTCTACATAACTATTTGTTAATAGTTAATTACAAAAAATTTAATTTATTTTGTACATACAGTGTGTTAATAAAACTCTAATACCACCTATAATTTCTAAATTTTCCAACTTACATGTAAGTTTCGACAATGAAATTTTACGCATCTGTTTTCTATTGTAAAAAATTCAAAAGATTTACAAAAATTTCTGTAAACTTATCTATTCATATCAATTATCTTATAGATTACTTAAAGGGCTTTCAGAAAAGTATAAAATAAAAATTTATTACGGTCTATAAGGGGTAGAAAATATGATTTAAAGACGTTTACCCCCTGTTTCCGTTGATTTTCGCTTTTCCAGATCTCGACGAAGGAAGTAAGATATAACTTCTTTTCTTTTGTATTTTCTATTGATATGAATAGATAAGTTTACAGAAAGTTTTGCAGATCTTTTGAATTTTTCTTTATAATAAGAAACAGTTGTGTAAAATTTCATTGTCGAGACTTACGTTAAGTTGGAAAAACTTAAAATTTATAGGTGGTCTTAAAGTTTATTGACACATTGTATTTAACGGTTTGTTCCCTAATCTGAGCAGAGACATGAAAAATTCCTGAAGTCTTACCTATCGATATGATGAAGAATGACAAACGAATATTTTAAACTCACCACATCATCGAGATGTCGAGCTCCAAAATCAACGGAAAATGCGGTGATTTGCGGGTGATTTGATTTTGAAAAATATTTTGGTCCAGCTGACCCAGATAAAAATTTTCTTCCATTATGTATTAAAACCCATAAAATTTGCTATAAAATAGGCTATATATACAATTTCTTAAAAAAAATTCTTTGTTGAGATAAATAATAAAAATTTCTAGAACTACCTCGTTCTTAGAATACCGCTACAGGAATTCTTTCAGATTTTTACTTTATTGGTTTTCAATAAAATTAAACTTAATTTTTTTCCCCAAGTAAATGTTTGCCACATACATACAATTTTTTTATTGAATTAAAATTCCCCCCCCCCCCTCACTCTCCTTCTTAAATAATTCTCTCGACAGACTTATATTATTACCTCCATTCTCTCGATAGTCTTCGATTTTCTATTTAAAATTTTTTAAATTAAAATTTTTAGTTATTGAATAAAATTAATCATTAAAATTAATTAATTTAATTAGACTTTAATTAATGTTGTTTAAATTAATATATGTATAATAAACATTTATTTTTAAATTTAAAAACATCTTTTTAAAATACACTATCACAAAGGATCGCTTCCATTCCCAATAACAAATGAAAAACAATTAAAATTTCAAAGAAAAAAATTAATCTCTTATCTTTTTTGTTTATAAATTTATTTAAATTTTTCTAATTAAAATTTTTTAGTTATTTAAAAATGTATTTATTTAAAATATTTATGATTCTACCGTTTATTTTACTATTACAACATCTGCCAGGTATTTATACAAATTACTCTCATGTAAAAATTAGAAGTTCTAGATATTTTCTTGCTAAATATTTTTCTTGACGTTTTTTAAATTTTGTGTTTTCTTCAATTTTTTAAATTATAATAGAATTGTAATTAAAATTTTGTTTTCTTCTATTTTTTATTCCTTACCAATTTTATGATTTCTTCAATGATATAATTTAATATAATTGAAGTATAATTTCATATTTTTGCTCTAAATCTTTTCATTAATTTATAATCAAATATAAAAACTTCATAGTTATACATCAAATTAAATAATTTATAAATAATATAGCTATTTATACTTTCAGCATCACTTGCGGGATGTATAACTAGTAAAGATAAAAATGATGTTCAGCAATCAGAAATCCTTGCCAACATTCCATCAACTAGCGGGTAAACATTATTTAAAAAAATTAATTAAGTATTTTTTGTCTGATAATCTCAGAAAGTTTTTTTTATTTTAATTAACAAATTAATTAATTCTAATAATATTATTTAAATCTTTAAGTACTCATCAACAAGATAACACAACTGGTAATTCAAAAATAAAAATTTTAATTAATTTAATCAGGGTGGCCTTTTCCAAACCACTAAAATAGGGCGCAGGTGCTCAAAAATACCACGACCACGGTCGACGACCACGTCAAGATGACCGTCGTAGACCACGACCACGTCAAGATGGCTGTCGTTGACCACGACCACGTCAAGATGACTGTCTTCGACCACGACCACGGTCTCGACCACGACCACGTCAAGATGACTGTCGTTGACTACGACCACGTCAAGATGACTGTCGTTAACCACGACCACGTCAAGATGCCTGTCTTCGACCACGACCACGTCAAGATGACTGTCGTTGACCACGACCACGTCAAGATGACTGTCTTCGACTACGACCACGGTCGTCGACCACGTCAAGTTGACTGTCTTCGACCACGACCACGGTCGTCGACCACGACAACGTCAAGATGAATGTCCTCGACCACGACCACGGTCGTCGACCACGACCACGTCAAAATGACTGTCGTTGACTACGACCACGTCAAGATGACTGTCATTAACCACGACCAGGGGTGGGCGCAAGAGGCAATCGTGAAAAACGCAAAACGCAACGCAAGGCCAAAAATCAACGCAAAACGCAAAAAACGCAAAACGCAAGAACGCAAAATTCTGAAAAAAATTTTTAAATCGAGTATTAGCCATTTTTCAGTTAAAATAGAAGTATTACTATAAGTCAGCGAGTCCTAGTTGATCTTGTGATACAATTAAGTTGGATGGGTAATGATTTGAAGGGGATACAATGGGATTATGAAGGATATTAGAGGATTTAGAGCGATTATGAAGGAGGGATCGAGGAAAATTGGAGGGATCAAGGAAATTTAAAAAGATACCATGCGATTACTGATGAATGTCGGATGGGTTGGGGAGATAGGAGGATAAATGCCTCTCTGTAATTCTCAATTGATACCGCGGATATCAGCGGATTTGGAGGGATAAAGGGAGATCGGAGCTCAAGATATTGAACTGATATTTTTCTGACAGTTCCATGATCTACTTTTAGCGCCGCAGGCGAAAATTTTGAAAAATTTGGGACCAAGAAGCCAAATTTCTTCCTTTTTTAAGCGCCGCAGGCGAAAATTTTGAGAATTTTGGAAAGTCATAAGCCTGATTTCCTTCAGATTTTGCCCTCAGATTGGGTATATTTCTTGCGATTTTTTGCGTTAATTTTGGCCAAATTTACGCAAAACGCAAAACGCAACGCAAGGCCAAAAATCAACGCAAAACGCAAAAAACGCAAAACGCAATGCGCCCACCCCTGACCACGGCTACGTCAAGATGACTGTCTTCGACCACGACCACGGTCGTCGACCACGACCACGTCAAGATGACTGTCTTCGACCACGACCACGTCAAGATGACTGTCTTCGACAACGACCACGTCAAGATGACCGTCTTCGACCACGACCACGTCAAGATGACTGTCGACGACCACAACCACGTCAAGATGACTGTCGTCATCTTGAAATTTTAAAAATTGATAAAAATAGGGATAAATATGGCATTTGTACAAAATATGGAAAAAATGGGGTGAAAAGATCAAAAATAGGGGAAATCCTCTATAAATAGGGTAAAAAGGCCACCCTGAATTTAATAAATGTTTTGTTAATATAGTTACAACATTTCAATGTGTTCACGGACTTAGATTTGATTTGGGAAGAATAATGACAGTTGAGGATATAAGTATCCTCTATAAATTAGATGAAAATTATAAAATTGGTCAGGGTGCATTTGGAGAGGTAACTAGTAAATTTTTAATAATTAATACATAATAAATTTAATAATAAAATTAAAAATTAATATTAAATTTTTATTAATAAAATTTAATAGTAAAAAAAACTGTTGATTAATAGCCAAAATCAACTTTCTATATAATTTTGTATATCAGTCACGAATATTAATTTAGATTTATCATGCGTACTCTGTAGAAACTAATCGTTGTGTAGCCTTAAAAATTACAAAGTTCATCACTGAAACCCGCAAAAAAATTGCTGAAAATGAAGTTAAAGTGCTAAAGCATATTAAGCACGAATACAACGAAGAAACCAGAAACCGAATTATCGAAATATATGGAAAGTGAGTTAAATATTTATTTTCACTTGATAATACAGGTAATTTGAAGCTTGCTCAGGTGTGCCAAAATTTTGATTTTCGTCCCTTTTTCCTATTTTTGATTTTAGAATTTTTGGGAGATGTTGTTAACTTTGTCATATATTTTTAAATTTTGTCTTTAAGCATGGAAGAATATGAAAGGATGTACACCGTTTTAGAACTTTGCGGTCGTAATTTATTAAATTACTTTCACGCAAAAATGGGGGAGCTAGAAGATACATCCAAGAATAATTTTATTATGAAGATTCTTAAAAGTGCTGCTATAGCAATTAAACAATTACACGATAAAAGTATAATTTTACCTAATTTTAATTTTTAATCTAAATTTTCAGATATTATTCATTTGGACATTAAATTAGACAACTTTGTAATTGGTTACAACAGTAATCAAACTCGCATTGTATTAACCTTAAATTAATAGACTTTAATTCTTCTGTAATCAATGGATGGGATATTGATGAAGTTCAATTAACAACTATGAATAGTGTATTGAAGCCTCCAGAGCTTGAAAGAAATGATATTGAAAATGTAGGTCTAAACATAATTATGTAAAAATATTTTATAATTTACTATTTTCTCAAAATTTTTTGGACTAAAAAATAAAATAAACTTTTATATATAATTTTTAAACACCTTACAAAGCAGAGAGCTTGTGGTGTCCGTGGGACTTTGGGATGACATTTGGTAGACAGATAGACCATACCCTACTTTAATCATGATAAATGTTTATATTAATTTGTATCTAATTTTATCTTGTTTTAGGTATCTTTAAGTGCAGATATTTGGGCTTTTGGTTTAATGAGTTATGAAATTGTTTATGGAGAATTACCAAGTAATAATTTCATGAATTTTTATTAAATATAGAATTATTAATTTAAATAGAAGGACGACCTGAACTATTAGAGGTTCTGGAAGGTTATCGAAATGATCACAGCTACAATTCACGTTTAGACTTTATTATAAAGGTATAAGTGGATTTATAATTTAATTACTTTATTTAATTAACATTTTTGTGAAATTATTGCTCCATTTACTAGCAGTAGAATCTTATTATTATGTATATAAATATTTATAATTTTAGCGTTGTATTGCTTATGACCCTGACGAGCGATTTAATATTAAACAAATATTACGTGAGATTAACAGAATTTTAGAACAGGAGCACGGACACCAATAGCGTGATTTATTTATTCAAGTTTGAAACTAGCATGTTTGGTAGAGCTTAGCCTGAGTTTTTTTTGTTACACCTCCACTCCTGTTTTGAATTTATAATTAACAGACCTTCATTTTCAAATTTTGATTGTCAGTTTTACCAAATTTTTTGGCTAACTGCAACGAAAAAAATTCAGGCACGGAATGAGGGAAAATTACGAACAGAAAATTTTAAGTTTTCGATTTGTGCAAATTTTTGCAGATTTTCTTTGGCATTTTTTTGGGGTTCGTAGATTTTTTTTCGTTTATGGCGAGCTCTAATCTTTCGCAACATACCTCTGTAATTGTGATTTTTTATTATTACCCAGGTTTTTTTGATTTTTCACATTGATGATATACAGTATTTATTCTAATAGAATGGCCTCTTTAATAGAATGACCCCTCCAATAGAATGGCCCCTTTTTGGGGGTATTGAAAAATAGAATGGCGGCCATTCTATTAGAATAAATACGGTAAGTTTAAATTTTATCTGTCATTTTTATACTTTTTAGACACGTTCAAGTATTTTGGTATTTATTTCTTTATTATTTACTTTTGGGCTCGGTTTTGAACTTTTTTATTCTTTATGAACCTTGTTTTTTCTTTTCACATAAACTTTTAAAATTTACATTTTTTAAATTAAACATATTTTTAGAATAAAGTTATTTTCGGTAAGAACCTTTTTTCAAATAAATCTTTTTCAACCTACACCTCCAATCTGAAAAAATTATTAATAAGGGTAATCAATTGAGTAATGACGGGATTTTTGATTACTACAAATCATCTCTCCTTTGTAATTGTTTTAAAATAAAAATTCCCTTCGTCGCTATTAGCCACAAAATAAATTGAGGGATGTTTTTGATTTTTAAAAATTAAATTGATCTTTTCCCGCATTTAATAAAAAAATTAAATGTATATTCACTAAATCTTTAGTTATTTTCTCCTCTACAAAATATTCCCCGAACTGTCATTGACCTCAATTTTTGGTCAGCAAGAAAAAGAACACTTTAAATGTACAAGTAGAGCTGTTAATTAGAGAAAACAATTTAATTTTCATTTATTTTTTTACAAAAATGTGTAAAAACTGTTGATCATTCTTTAATTATTTATTAAATTAAAACTTGAAAGAAAATTATATTCCCCTTTTAAATTTATTTTTTTATAAAATCTCAAAATAAATTTAAACAAAATTATTTATGAAGGAATTTGAAGAGTTTTCCAATAATAGTCAAAAAATTATGAAACTTTCATGAATCAAAACCCCCATTTATTTGAAAATATTTGACAAAAAATTATTTTTATTTTATTTATTTTCTGTTTTTAGATAACTTTAAAGAGTTGTCTTCTAGGGTGTTGAGCTTGTGGACGGTTGAAAAGCTATTTAATAAAAAGCCGTTAATAATTAAAAGTTTAATTTTTAATTATATTATTTAATTTATTTAAATAATATTTAATCAATTAAATTAATTAAATTCAGATTTTTTTTAATTTTAACAAATGAGGGAATTTAAAGTTGTTGTTCTTGGATCAGGCGGAGTTGGGAAATCTGCTTTAACTGTCCAATTTGTTTCTAATAAATTTATTGTAAAATATGATCCGACAATTGAAGATTTTTATAGAAAAGAGATTGAGGTTTTTTAGAAAATATAAATTTAATTAAGTTGTTTTTTGGAGTTAAAAAATTATAAATTAAAAAAAATTTGTAACTTTTAAAAAGTTAAACTTTTAATTAAAAATATTTTTAAATAAAAACCAAAAACTTTATTAAAAAATTTTTTTTGTTTGGGGGAAAGATTTGTATTATTTTTTATTTTTAAAGTAGTCAAAAAAGATGATGACTCATCATTTTTTAATAATCAATATTTAATTTAAAAAATTTAAATTAAATTATTAACTTTAATTTTTTACTAAAGAAAATTAAAATTTGTATAGAATATTTACTCCCAATTAGAGATCGGCCAGGAGCTGGACCAAGGCCCGTACCCAGAGTCCAGGCATTTTTTTACCTTCCTGGGTTTTTCACGGGCCTGGGCTTTTCCTGAACTACAAGCCCAGGATCCAGTCTAGGTTAATAAATCAAACCTTGAGTCCAGAAACAGGTCCAGGCTTTTCAAATTTCCGATCTTTACTCCCAATAAGCCAAAAAAAGTCCCTTTCCAAGCAATTAAATTTCAAATTAATTTATTTAGGTTGATGGACAGCCTTGTGTTCTTGAAATCCTCGACACTGCCGGAACTGAACAATTTGCCTCGATGCGGGATTTATATATAAAAAATGGCCAAGGGTTCCTCGTAATATATTCAATTACCAATCAACAGAGCTTTCACGATATTCGTACTATGAGAGATCAAATAATTCGCGTTAAGGTTTTTATATGGAATAGGAAAGAATTGGTATTTTGTTTTTAAGGGTACTGATCAAGTTCCGATTTTATTAGTTGGAAATAAGTGTGATTTGGCACATCAGAGACAGGTTGAATAAAAAATATTTGATTAAAGTTTCTTATAAATATTTTAAAATAATTATTAAAATTTAAAATATTTTGAGAATTTCAAAATTATCTAACGATAATTCTTAAGAAGTTGTGAAAATTAACGGTCAATTAATTATTATGATTAGATTGTAAATTTAAATGAAAAAGTCTTTTAGCTAACAATATATTTTAATAAAGAGTGTTAACACTCGTATTTTAAACGTGGCGCGAACTTTGCGGACCCGAATTTTGCGGACCCGAACTTTGCGGACCCGAAATATGCGGAACGAAAGTTGCGGACCCGAAGGTTGCGGACACGAAGTTTGCGGACCTGATCTTTGCGGAACCAAGATTTTAGGACCGACACTTGAGTAAAAAGTAAAAATTAAAAATTTTATTTTTCGAGGATTCCGGCAGAGTTTACCCTGATCCGCATCGGATTCAAGATTTTTTCTCGACTTTTCAAAATTTTTATCAATTTTTTATCTTAAAATTATTTCATAATTTAAATAATCGAGAAAATTTCTTAAAAAATCATTTATATGGCCATTTCATAAGGTCATGATGCCTGAATTTATCCTAATAACGCCGCAGGCTAAAATTTTTGAAATTTCCGAGGTTCAGTAGACTCTATTGTCGGTCCGCAAATTTTTGGTCCGCAAATCTCAGATCCGCAAAATTCGGGTCCGCATAGTTCGGGTCCGCAAAATTCGGGTCCGCAAAGTTCGAGTCCGCAAATTTCGGGTCCGCAAATTAAAATCCGCAAATTTCGGCGCGCCATTTTAAAATAGGCCATAGTTTTATTCTATCGTTGAAGTTCGAGAAACTTTTAGGAGGAGGATAAGAAAATTTGTTTTTTTCTCTAAAATATTAATTTATTTATCAGCTAAATTAATAATGTATTAAAAAATAAATTTTTAAAATAATAAAAAATATATTTAGGTTCGGTCTGAAGATGGTGCTGCTTTAGCAGGTTTTTTCTCTCCATTATTTTTTAAAATGAGATTAGAAATAGCTGAAAAATTAAAGTTCCATAATATTTTCTGAATGATTCAAAATTTAGTTTAATTTAACGTTATTGGTAACCACACCCTATTATTTAATGAAAAGATGGGTCAAAATCGAAGACCTATTCATATACTTGCTACCTATATGGATTTTCCAATAAAAGAATAATCACAGTTAGATCAATACTTCCAAATTCAATGTTCAGTATTTTTGTTCAAAGTTCTCCCCAATCTCGAGTAGCATGTGCTATCATTTGTTGCTATTACAGCAAAATCAAAAATAATAGGAAAAATAATAATAGGGCATAAATTCTATGTATAACATAAATTATTTTTCTTACATAATTATAAAAAATCAGAAAATAATTTATTTTCAGAATATTGGGCTTGCCCTTTTGCTGAATGTTCTGCAAAAAGTGCTCACAATGTAAACACAGTTTTTGCTGAAATTGTTAGGGAAATTAATTATGTACAAAGTGCTAGGCAAAAACAAAGGCATTCTTGTTGTGAAATTATTTGAAATTAAAAAAAAAATTTGGAGAGAACAGAAATAATAAATAAAAAATACTTAAATTTTAATAAAATCATGGTTGGCCTTTTTAGATTTTTATATTTTAAATAATAATAAATAGGGATGGGAAAAATATGCACGCAAAGTCGCAAAATATGCGCATATATATGCACCGAAAAAGCCCAAAATCTGCAAAATTTCCCAAAATATGCACAAATATGCAAAAAATATGCTTGAGGCCGAAATATGCACAAATATGCATTAAGAATCGATCCTAAAATGCTCGGACCAATGTAAAAACACCCATTTTTGGGCTTCCCACTTCAAGGCATATCCCATACAAATTATGTTTTTCCCATCCCTATTAATAATTAATTTTATATGCTCTTTTATGTCTTTGAAAATAATTTTGTCATGAATTTTTAATTTAAATTTTTTATAAAAATGAGTTTGGATTTTTAAATTTAAAAGTCATTATGTTTGGTAAGTCTTTAACTTTATAAGATTGTTCTGAATATTGTCTTTGAGCTGCTCTAAAATAAATTTGTGATAACTGCTTAAATTAGTATTATTTCTTACTAAAATCAAAATGAAAGTTTTGAAAATTCAAGCTCATCAATTATTGTTTGTAAAGCTTATTTGTCAACCCCTTACTAGTGATTTGAAGTAAACCTTTCATTTTTTATAATTTCGCTCAATTTTATTATGTTAATATTTGTAATATAATCTGCGAGTTTCTTGGTAAATTTCGAGTCTATTTAGAAGTTCGGACCTATTTTGGCCTTTTTAGAATTTTTTGAACTTCCAAATTTTTTGACCTAACTTAGATCTATTTTACGGTTTTTTGCACCTAAAAACACACTAGTTATCTTTAATTAAACTTGGGCATGAAGAATGTCGCCTAATTCTCCAGTGAATAAATGTATAGTCGATTTATATATCTGATAGTCGATTTCGTTCAAACGATTTCGTTAACAATTTTCGTCAGAATGAAC